GCAGACAACAGAAAGCGACCCTTAGAATTTAACGTTGGTGATCAGGTTTACTTGAAGATATCACCTGTGAAAGGGGTGATGAGATTTGGTAGAAAAGGGAAGCTGAGTCCGAGGTATGTGGGGCCATATGAGATCCTACAGCGTGTGGGTGATTTAATTAAGTAAAAATCTGAAATTTTAAGGGAATAATGGTCCTTTTGCATATTAATTAAAATAAACCAAATTTGTATTAATTTAATTTAAATTCTATTTGACTAAGTCTTGAATTTAGTCTCCTAATCCTAATAGTTCTCTCTCTCTCACGCTTCTTAACTCTCTCTCTCTCTCTCTCACATTCTCCATCTTTCTCACGTTATTCTGCCAAGCACAACAAAAACCAGAGAATTCATCAACAGTTCTTCACACTTGAAGAACTCACATGAAATTTTAAGAAAAACAAAGCAACCAAAAATATTAAGGCGAACAGAAGTTGTTCGTTGAGTGGTGTGGACGTTGAGGTAACTTGGACTGATTTTTGGAGAGAGTTTTGGGCAGAAAATTCTCTCTCCCCCTTGGCCTTTACATTTGTATCTTTGACCATGGAATTTTTTCCATCTCTAATATTTACGTAGAATTTTATTTGTTTCCTTTTCTGTCAAACGTGAATGTTATCATACTAGTTACAAGTACTTGCAGTTTACAAAACAAAATGATAAAATTTGTATAATGCTGCTAGGAATAAACTTTGTTATGTTCTCATATTTAATGAGAGTATTTAATATTTCTAATACTCTTTATGAAGTATATTGAATATCCATTACTTACTAAAGAGAACAATGGATGTAAATCATTATCCAATGACTCTACCTATAAGTAGTATATATATTTTTTGTTAAGCTTTGAGATTGCTCATTTTACTTTAGAAATTATTAGGGAAGTCAATGATATCCATTTTTGGTTGTCGAATTGTGTATTATAGGAATCAAAATATATATATCAGTGTAAACACAATTGTGTTGTTTGTACTGAAATTTACTGGAATGGTTGTGGATAATTAGGCCAAGAGTAGACTTAAGTCAACATTTAAAGTTTGAACGCTCGAATTGGTATTTCGACGACACCATTAGATTTAATTTTTGGTCCTCCGTGAAGTCTTGTTTGAATTTTTAGAGGTTCCGGGGGGAATTAAGTGTTTTTGAATAAAAGTTATTTTATCGCAAGGAGACTTCGTATACGTGTCCTGACGTTCATTTAGTTTGGAACGTTAAGTTTGGTTGGGTAGTATATCTAGTTTGTATATGTGCCGATTTTGAATGAATCCTGAGGGTGCGTTAGGTTATTTTGTTGAGTCTTGGTGTTTGCTGATATGTTGTATATAATGCACATTAAGTATTGTTTGCATCATGAGGCTCTTGGTTTCAGTTGCATTGGTATGTGGTCTTGTGCTTCATGATCGCATGGAGGATGTTGCAATCACAATAGCATCTTGAGCATCGTGATTGTGTGGCCTTTTGTCGCGATCGCTTGGTCAACTAATTAGTTGACCAGCATTAGCCATGGCAATTGAGAGGTATGGGGCAATCGCGAAGGGTAAAAGTGACCTAGATAGATTTTTTAAAAAAAATCAGCATTCATCCTCATTTCTTCATTTTTGTAATTTGGATGCTTTGTATAGGCTATTTTTAAGGGACTTTTCGAGATTCTTCAATTGGGAAACGAGTTTTAACTTCCATTCTTTATTACCCACTACTTACTTCAAGATTTTATTACCCCATCTGTAGAGGCTATTTGAGTCAAGTCAAACTTAGTGAACTTTCTCAAGAATTCGGAATTTCAGGAAAATGGACATTTAAGCTTGGTTTCCTATTCATTACAAATATCTAGTCAGTCCACACTGATTTCTATCATTTTATATTTGAAGTGAATTTTGTCCATGATACACAGTCTGTGCATGTAATCAGGGACGGATCTTGATTGAAAAATTACACCATATATATAGGGAAAATGATTTTTTTTGCATATCTGTAAGTTGTTGAATCTGCTTGGCATAAAATTTTTTCTTTGAATCCCCAATTTTTTCCTTTATTGAGGATGGAAGACTTACATGATATTGATTTTGACTCAGATATGAAAGAGAGGACTACATCTGCAGGGACAAAAATGCAGCCTTTACTGTCTGATTCTTCCTTTAGAGACATTACTTGTAAGGCTGGTGACCGAATCTGTAGTAGTTTAGTAGCAGAAAACCCTTTTACAGAGACCAGATTCTGTGATCTCTGTTGCAGTGAGTCTGGTTTTTGCAGAGACTGTTGCTGTATACTTTGCAGCAAGCTTATCAATCTGGACTATGATGATTACATTTATTGTGAAGCAACAGTAGTTTCTGGCCACATATGTGGACATGTTTCCCATCTAAAGTGCGCTCTACAAGATTACATGGCTGGGAGAGTTAGAGGAAGCATCAATTTGGATGTAGAGTATCTCTGTCCATACTGTGATTCAAGGATGGATTTGGTTCCACATGCTTCGAAGCTTTTAAACATTTGCACATCCATTGCTTCTTATGATGACATCGAGAAGATTTTGAATGTTGGCATTCGTATTTTGCGTGGCTCACAAAAAAGTATTGCAAAAGAATTATTGCATCATATTGAATCAATCAATGCAAAGGTATAACACTAATTGATTACTGGAACTTTGTTTCCTATGATGCTATCCTTTTTTTCCAGTTTTGAGGTTTACAGTTACTAGAATGACCAATTTGATAATCATATCAGCTTATGAAAGGAATCAACATTCAAGATGCATTCAAACAGGAAAGTTGTGTGAATAGCACTGGTAACATCTCTATCTTGTCATTGTCTTGTTTGTATATATGTATTTGAGCAAGATATTCAGTATGTGCAAATGTGGTTATCTTACTTTAAGTATTGTCTATTTCATGATACAAATATATACATCTATGTCTATTTCCGTTTTTCCCATTGTCCACAAATGCCAAAAACACTTGTTGCAACTAAACTGCAATATGACAAGTAAATAAAATTGGAGAGCATTGTAAAAAGTACAAAAAGAGGAAATGAATAGCTTACTTAAAAGGAGTTTGGAACTTTGGTGTAATCAGCCATAAGAGAAAGGAATGGATCACTCATTGAACTCTTGTAGAGTGGTGTTTTGGTCAACTGCTTTAATAGCATCTCCTGGCATAGAGAGTTCTGCCTAGCCTGTAAGGCATAGAATTGAATGTCACATCCATGATTGGTCTCACCACATTAGTATAATTATTTTCGAATGTTAGTCAAGTTATAATTGACTGACTGTTGATTTCTTCAATTCGGCTACCCTAGAGTTTAGACGATTAGATAAAGCAACATATTGTATAACGATAAAGAGATAAAAGACACAGTTGACAAAGAATTCTATGCTAGTTCGGATCACGCCTAATCAAGTCCCCTTGAGTTACAAGGGTTTACGTAGAGCTTTAATTTTTTATGCTTAGACAGATGGCCTGTTCTGAACTCCTTGACCAGAAAAATTCCAATTTACTTGTCGATCACATCCTCTACTCTTATAGTTTTCTTTTCACTAGTAAACTATTTTGAATACAGTAATAAAAGAGTGACTATGCTTTTGGTCAAGGGAAATTGCGCTATCAAAGTAGTCGAAACATAATCTTATTCATTCAGTACCCAAACTTTATATACTACAGATAAAAACAACCTACAGCTAAACATAACCTATTACCTGAATTCCAAACAATAGGGGAGTCTAAAACAATATTAGTTACCGTAACTAATAATTACAGTAACTAATGCTTAATACTTCTGTGATTATGATCTGCTTTTATATTACTTGCTTCTTCTTTACCGTTGCCTTGACAGAATGGAATTGATATCAATTCGCTGTTCTTCAACTAATCTCTTATTTGGAATGTCATTGAGATTGATCTGAGAAGAAGTGAAGTTGCACAATCTTCTTTTCTGATTTTCAGTGTTTTGCTCTTAATGTAACCCAAGGGATTTTCTCGCTGATATTCAAATCAATCCGACTGTCCTGTTCTTTCTTGTAGTTAGCGTGTGCTATTTTTCCTTCATTTAAATATATCTTAGACAAGTCATTCTTCCTTGATTCATGCCTTCTTTTCACAGATTTTGGATGTCTCATTTTTTTTGGCGCTGATCATTTAGGATTAGTGTCATCATTAAAATATATCGGAGCCTATCTTTTAGTCTGATATATCCAGATAGATATTGTCGCTATTGTCCTTGTGATTCTTCTTGTTGGTCTTGATGTGCAATCATATTTTCTAATGATAGAATATGCCTATATGTTGTGGCTTTCGTATTTCTGGAAGTATTGTTTTGTGCTCAATTTGCTATTATTAACGATCTTGTGGCAGTTCATACCCTACTCTATTTCTAATGTCATGTAGGATTCTTTTAATCCTTCAAATTTTGGACAATGGTTTTCATGAAGTTAATTTCTTGATTTTTCAGCTAACTCGGGTACCTCGCAAGATCAAAATCTCCGTTAGAAGCAAAAGACACTGGATGATTTCAATATCCCTGAAAACTTTGATCGCAAAGTTACTCTATGCTAATTAATTGAAGGTAACAAGTAGTAAGTGAGAAGAGCAAGTTATTCCAGACACCATTGTCATAAAAATGATTTGGTATATTGCTACTGGTACATTTATACATTATGAGAATATGCTCAAACAGAAAGAGCCCAAGTTTGTTCATTATTTGGCTATATACCTTGTTGTTTAAGTAAACATACAAATGTTTGTTACAATCGGCAAGGTATTGTTGTTTTGCATATGTACTATTTCCAACAACTTTGGACATGTGGTGTTCAAAGTTAGTCTCGACAAAGTGTAACTTTATACAATGTTTGAAATTTTTTGGTGGCTAAAGTTGAGGTATATCGTATATATGGTTGAAGTATTTTTGTTTGAGAAAGCATATAATCTGATGTACTAGAGTTTGTTTAATTGATTCATAAAATGTGAAAATGTTAAACTATTGTACAAGAACAAGTTCAGCGTCTCTCCAAACACCTCTAGATCCATTATCAAACTCTCCACGGCCTTGGTCATCCTTGGGCACCATCACTATCAGCTCTCCATCCACAAATACCACCATGGCCAGCTCCGGCATAGTCGAAGCAGTCAATCTGTACCTCCAATATGTATCCACATTCAATTCATGCTCATCCTCACCGTCTGCAATTCCCTTTCTCACAACAATCTTCCTTATCCCTTCAGGATGAATCTCTACTGCCAGTGTTCTCACTTGTCCATCCCGAGCTCCTTCTAGTTCGATTTATTCCATGAAACGGAAGAATCCTTCCTTCTCTTCCACCGCCACATCTGCATTAGAACGGAAAGGCAATTCGATAAAGTAGTTAAATATGTGAGGAAGTCTCCTGAGTTTCTTCATTGCGGAATCAGGAATGTGTTGTTCCTGTTCTAATAAATTGGAATGAATTCTACCAATTGTTGGGTTGAAACGATAAGATGATGAAGAAGACAAATGGTGAAAAGGTTCAAAATTCGAATAGCGCAATTTGGGATTCTATTAACCCGTGAAAGAATTATTGATAATTGCATAGGTTTTTTGTCTGTAAAACACATTGCGCATTTACTAAATTAATATTAGTTAGTAGAGCATCTTGTATTTATCTCGAATTGAACTGATTATCATTAATCAGATATTAACTTAGGAGAAAAATAATTAATTACCAAAATTTTTTAATTACTAAGTATTTGAAGTGACATATAATTATTGGAGTGATATAAGTACTTGACATAAATTAAAAAATCCATTACATTTCTTGGATTCTCTATAGATTTTTTTCTAAAAAAAGAGGATAGATTGCTCCTTTATTGTTTTCAGAAATAAGCAAATCAATCAAGAACGAGGAAATTTCCTATTTAAATTGGAACAATATAATTGTGATACATCCACTCTCTTCCATAACCATTTAGAAAATAAATGTTCATAATTTTTAGGGAAAATACCCAAGTACCCCCTCAACCTATGCCCGAAATCCCAGAGACACACTTATATTATACTAAGGTCCTACTACCCCCCTAAACTTATTTTATATGTAATTTTCTACCCCTTTTTAGCCTACGTGACACTAGTTCGAAAAAAGTCAACTATCGTTGGGCCCACAAGATAGTGTCACGTAAGCTAAAAAGGGGTAAAAAATTATTAATAAAATAAGTTCAGGGGGTAATAGGACCTTAGTATAGTGTAAGTGTGTCTCTGAGATTTCGGGCATAGGTTGAGGGTGTACTTGGGCATTATCCCTAATTTTTAAGAAATTAAATTATATGCTTACACTCATATTATAGAGAAAATGCATAAGTACCCCTTCAACATTTTTCCGAAATACCAGAGACACACTTATGCTATATTAAGGTCCTAGTATCCCCCTGATTTGATTTTATAAATAATTTTCTACCCATTTATGGCCTACATGGCACCATTTTGAAAAAATATTAATACACGTTGGACCCATAAGATAGTGTTACATAGGCTAATAAAGGGAAACCCTTCATGATGCTGTGGAGAGGGTATTTCGCTTGCCAAAATACTCTAGCACTGATATTGGTAAGTTGTGGGCATTGCCATGACAGGAATCAAGCATGTTAGAATGAGAAAGATTTTGATAATTGACAAATACAGGAACAGATGAAAGAAATAGGTTGTGCGACGTGTTCCTTATAGACCGAATCCGACTTTGATATGGAGAACGTCAACCTCGCAAATTAGAAGATATAAAGCTGTGGAAGCATTGCTTTTTCGACAAACAACCAGTACAGAAAGTTTCCTTTTAAAAAAGGAGTTTCTAACCAAGTTGAAAAAGGAATTAGGGATCAATAATAATTTCTTATTTAATTAAGGAAAGTTTTTTGGCAATACAAAAGAAAAATTTTGTGGAAGGTTTTTCTTATTTAATTAAGGAAAGTTTTATGCCAGTATATTACCTAATTTTAGTTGACTTCTACAATGTCTTCATGCGACAGAGTTAAAGTTGAAGAAGAAGATGAAGATGCAGCAAGACGAGTTCCACACAATGTAGGAGTCCTACGCATGAGCTTCTAAGTTTCAAGAGAAAATTAAGTAGAGCATAAGTAGGATTTCTAGTTGAAATAGGTTTTGGATTCAAGTTCAAATCTATAAATAGAACGATAGTTTCGCTGGTTGAAATTGCGCACCTACAAAGAAAGAAGATAAAAACACGATCAAGAGGTTTTAGAGAGTTTTAATATTTATCGTGAGTATTGCAATTTTAGAGGAAAATTGTAAGATTGTAATTAAGAGTTATGATTACAATCGAGTGTTTGTGTAGAATTCATCTAACAAGTTTGAGAAATTTGACAAACGGTAGAAGACTTAAACTTGGGTTTTTTTTGTCTTGGGTAGCTAGGAATTAGAGTTTATAATTTCTTAGCTAGGAATTAGAGTTCATAATTCCTCTAGGAATTAGAGTTATAATTTCTTAGGTTACATAGGTTTGCAATATTGTGTTGAAACTTGGAGCTTAATAAAGTGAAGTTAAATCATACAGAGGTGTAGGTCGCGGTTTTTACCCTTATGAGTTAGAGTTTTCCGTGATAAAATATTATGTTATTATTTTATTTTTTTCAAAAAACGTAGCTGTTGTAATCTGAAAAGGAACATATAAAATATACTTCTTCCTTAGGAGAATTTGGAGCTCGGAATTCAGAATTCCAACAAAGCAGGAAGGTATGTCAACATTCAATCGCTTGATTAAGAAAGTCGACTCTCTTACAATTGAGATAATTTCGACGATTAAAAAAGAAAAAGAAGAAGGTTAGTGTTCAATGAGCTCGAGATAACAGCCTGATGAGAGGAAGGTGTGGAGTCAACTCCTCCAACAATGAGCTTGTTGTTAAGTTCAGACCTCTTACTCAAGTTTCTCCAAGAATGTAGAATGTTCGTACAACACCTTTTACGAAAATGTAATCAACTCCCTCAAGTACTTTTGGGGTGGCCATTAACTTTTGTGGTTGCACCTCTTTTTTTTCTCTATCTTTCAATATGAGCTTGTCCCTCTCTATCTTTTGGACTACTGTTTTCCTTAACTCTTAGACTACTCTAGTTTCTAGTGTCTATGCTTTAATATAGTCTGTTGTTTAGATATTCTTTTTGATTATGAAAAAGGGGGAGAAAACAATTATATCCCTCTCTGTGAGACAGGGAGAGCTAAGTCAGGGCGAGCTACATCAACAACATCTAACCTTAGGGAAGTATAATTAAACTCTCTCAGTATAATTGAATATCCATATTATTATTAAAATTGTGATCAAACTTGTCATTATCACAAAGGGGGAGATTTTTAACTCCATATGGTCAGTTGATTTTTAAAATAGACTCATAACGTGTTGATCTCAATTTTCGTAGGTCACAAATCTAAAAAGGGAAGTCATCAGCACAGAGGACTTCAAGAAGGAAAAAATCTTTCATTAAAATACAGAGATGCATTGGAAAGGAAAGACTCAAATCTAAGGGACAAAAGAAGGAAAGAAATATATGACTGGAATATATGGTCAATAAGCACATAGAGGAAAGAAGCAAGAATCTCAGTCATGGAATCAATCACAAATAACACATCAAGAAATGGGAAGAACCACAATTCAAGCCACAAGATAAGAAGACTGCTGATCACACAAGGACAAGATCAAATCAACACAAGAAAAGCAGAAGAAGCGATTAAAAACGAAGAAACATAAATCAAGCCACAAGATAAAAAGTCTGATGATCACACAAGGACAAAATTAAATCAGCACAAGGAAAGCAGAAGAAGGGCTCTACTATAGATAAACTAAATCGTCTGAATCAAGGACTCTCTAAAGTAATCTTTGATTGAGATAAAATCCCTTGGGTTTTTTCCTTACAAAGAGCAAAGGTTATCATCTATTTATATCGACCTCGATGTATAGTGTGAAGCACACAACTTTACTTGAGCTTAGAAAACAGATTTATTTTGTCTTTCATAAAAATTTGTAAGCACTTAAGTGATACAATTAGAGAGAAAAGATAAAAGAAAAACATCCTAGTGCAGGTATACAAGTTGAGACAATGTCAAGGTAGAAATCTGATTTGCATATCAGACATGTTAAAAGTTCAATCGTTCGTGTAACAAAGAATATCTCTTCAAAGCTCTTATGGAAAACTCTGAAACCCAAGGGGACTGGACTAGGTACCACATTAGTGACCCGAACCAGGTTAAAATTTTGTGTGTCAACTATTTACTACAACTTTCTGTTATTGTTTATTATCTTAATAACTTGCAGGTGAGTCAACTATCGACTACTGATAGCTGACTAAGTGAATTTTTCATTCACCCCCACCTCTCTTTAATATCACTTAATATAGTATAAGTGTGTCTATGAGATTTCAGTCATAGGTTGAAGGGGTATTGTGCATTATCCCTAAGTTATATGCTTATGATTTTTATTTTGAAGAGAGGATTTTGTATTGTTTATTTAAATGGAAAGTTCAGTAGCATATAATTTATGTTGCTCTTTTTCTTTCTTTTCTTCTATATTTTTCTTCTGCTAAAATAGAGAGTGCATACTATATATATACAATCAACTATTAAAATGATGTGTGGTGATAATTTGTTTAGAAAGAAAAAAATTAACTGGTAATGGCAGTGTGACTTTGACCATTACTTTATTTTTTTAAAAAAATAGATGTCCTTTTATACAGTTCATTGACTATCGATAAAATAGACCTTCACCAACAAGATGAAACAGAAGTCCAGGTAATCAACCAACTGACCTATTAAGATTTATTCTCTCTAGTCCAAATTAAGTGAATTGTCAAAAGTTTTTTTATAGTTCAAATTAAGTGAAATTTTCAAAGTTCAAGATAATTGTTAGTAGGATTTTGGTTTCCATATTTATCCTTTCTTTTAATGATGTTATGAACTATTTAACGTTGTTAAGAGAATAACTTAAGAATATTAATAAAAAATGAGTCTTTAATGTTGTCCTTAAATATTTTTGTTTTAAGAGGAGAGTTATATCCTAACAATTCACTTAATATATAAACTAGAAGAAGTACGAATCATTTTCCCAATATATATATGAAAATATTGAATTAATTGTATTCAAAGAATGATACAACATAATTATTCTTTAATTATTGCTCGTTAAGGAATGTGACAGGTGTGTACCAATTCACACATGAAGGGAGTATAAAAGTTTCTGAATACTAAGAAAAACCTTATTATAGCCTTCTCATTTCACAAGGTCGTTTAAGGGTTTTGATTTTCTTTTTCCTTTGATTTTGAATTTTATATTTGTCGTGTTTGTCTGGGATTAGCAGGAGAACCATTTTAGTCAAATCCCTAGTCTCTCAGGTAGGTTCTAAAATTCAATCGGGGCTTTCTGTTTATT